ATTGATATTGGATTAGCATTTGTTGGATATGTGTAAAATTATATGTGTTGAAATAACTGTCTTTACATGCTTGAAAGAATAAATCAAATCAAATCAAAATAGTTTGACTCTCAAGGCATGGACCTCAGATTTCTGCCTCCACCCCAGGACAATGAATGTCAGCTGAAGGTATTTTATTTTATGGTGACAGCATTGAAAAATTACACCACCAGCATCTTTCTCCAGGGTTTTACTTTGGCGGATTCTAATGGCACCACTTTGTACCAAAGACTTGAAACTTGCTACAGATAATCACAGTAGTGCAGAAAGATATAAATGGCTTGTTTTGATAAATGCATAAATAAGCCAGGATGCTAAACCTCCGCAGGGTCCAGCTTGTCAAATATTAACATGAGGCTTTAAATGTTTTATCTTTTTAAAATTAGGCTTTGTTTTGGTCTGTGGGCCCGACAAACACTGAAGATGTGCAATGGGAAGCTTCTATAGACTAACCACTGGCTTGGCCAAAAACATTACCAAGAACGAACACCCAATAAAAACATGCGTGTGTTAGTCCATCCCTCTACACTGACTTCCTGTCTGTGGCTGTCAGACCAAGGCCCAGTGGTTTCTACGAGAGACAAATCTTCTATAGCACCGCAATTTTTTTTTTTTTTTTTAAAGATTAATTTCCTCAAACAGCTGCTCACAGTAGCATTTAATCAAACAAACAGGAAGGAAAATCCATTTGTTGAGGACTATTTTCAGCAGCGGATGAATCCATGTTCAATCTATGTTGGGATTTGTTGACAAGAAAACAGAGCATGGTTATGAGCCAAACAGACAGGACAGCAGAATAGAAACCTTGCAGACTTTATTATCATCATTATTATTAAACTGCCCAATTTCCTGTACAGAACAACAAAAAATTAAAAAAAAAAAAAAAATTGGGGGAAACAAACCAGATGATCAGAAGCTCCATGGATTCAGACAGAAAACAGTGTTATCATCACAAACTTTAAATCATCATGGCCTGGGACGAGGAGGAGCTGCTGGAGACACTGTGTGACCTCTGGGCAGCACACACAGCTACAGACACGCCATCCACCACACACTGACGTGCCCACAAGCCGCAGGGATGTTCAGGACAGCAGATCCCTCGGTGGGACGGGGAGCAGGCGGAGTTGAACAAAAGACATCAGATGGGCAGAAGAGCAAAAGCGCTTCAATGAATCAGTGTCTCATTTACAAGCAGGGAGGGCAGCTCTCACCAAACCAAGCTTCAGCAGTCAAAGGAATGAACAGTACAGGCTAATCGCACACTACGGAGTTTATAGTATCATCACTCAGTATAGTACACACATACAGGGCTGGACCGAGCCGGGAGAGGAGAGGCCGTGTTTTCACAGGCAGCGAAGTTGTTCAGGTGCAACAAGACAAGTCGTTTTCCGTCTTTCAACAGAGACCAAAAAGCTGGAGGACACAACAACGCGGACACAATGAATCCAGCAGCAGAGACCTGCTGGATACCTAGTGGTCACCCCCACTGTGTGGTCACCCCAAAAATGCTGATTCCAAAAACGACATCTTTTCACATTTGTCACACTCGCCTGTTCTGCCTCCGATGCTGTGGAGTCACTAAGCACAGTGTTTGACAGCTGCTGTCTTCACCATCACTCTGCCTGTTAAAGAGGCGTTCACTGTCCTACATGAAAAGTCAGCCAACTGCTGGGGCAGGTCGAGGCAGAACCTTCGCCGCCTGCACCCCCCTGCAGGAAGGAGAAAAGGCAACCAGAGGACATTGAAATCATAGAAAAACTGACCATTAGTAAACAAATAAATAAAGGTTGTGACAAACAATATATATATATTTGAAGATATCAAAAAGGAAAAAAATGTGCAATGATTCCAGTATCTGTACACAAAATTGTTCACATCTCTATAAATCTAGTTTTATTTTTTACTCCGTTTCCTGCATTGCTCTCAGCTTTTCTGTACCAACCAGCGTGAAACAGACAGCCACTCAGCAAGTTTGCAAAAAGACAAGCCAGTTCTCCCAGTCTCACTGCTCCACCAGTCCAGGTTTGGACTGGGATTGCTCGTGACTGCGGTGTGGTGGAACCCAGCCACAGTGTGATGTCACACTATCTTCCCAACCGCCCTGACAGAGAAATCGGCTACCCTGGGAGCATCAGGTGGATGTCGTGTGTTTATGGCACAGGTTGGGGTGGGAAAACCAAAAACCAGACTGCATTAGAAGAGAGGTGAAGTTCCAAGGTCTGTCTTTTCAAAAAGAAAAAAAAATAACCACTATACTTCCTGTAGCAGGAAGAGCTTTGCGAGATGTCCCCTCCCATCTCCTCTGTGGTTCGGTGGAGGGCTGGCTGGTTGGCACCGCCCACCTGGCAGTCCCATGGCAATAAATCTAACACTCAGAAAAAAAAAAAAAATTCCAGAGCCAAACAATCCCCAAAAACCATTGAAACAGAGAACAAATCAGTCATATGGAGATACACAGACAATTAGGATCACACAAAAATGCTTTCAGGCCAACGCTCGCGCACTCAATTGAATAAAATACTGGAGTCATTATCCTGCCACATACACGAGGGGTTCCCCACCCACTTCCTACACATTTACACTCGATAAAATGCAGCGCATTAACAGGCAGGTAAAACCGCAGGTGGATCAGCGCTCTATGTCCAAGCTCAGGAGTGGAGAAGTAAAGGTGGCAGTGGTTGTGGCTCATGCAGCTGCAGAGCACACGAGTCACTGATCACACCCACTTTTACTTTCGATTGTATGCGAGGTCACATGAAAGAGTAAAAATGAGCAGGAGTGTTTGAAAATGAAACAAGGGGAGAAAACCCAAAGTGGCAAATTGAGAAGGCAGGTGGAGTTTTGGGGGCATCAGAGGGGTAAATGAGGTGGGAGGTCTTTTTTTTAGTGGTGGTCTTTTCTTCTGTGGGCGTGTCTAGACCCTCCATGGGCGTGGTCTACCTGTCCTTCAGCTGCTGAGTGACACGTTTGGTGAATCTGCCACAGAACAGCCCTATCAGGAAGAGCAGGGCCACCCCTGCACCAATCACAGTCATGATGTAGTTCTTGGATGGTGATGTCATCACCTGCATGGCCAGGTCTGAGAAACTATCGGTGGGAGCCACCTGATGGGAAATAAGGACAAAACTGTGTGAATGCAGAACTGCAGATGTCAAAATGACCACCACCAACTCCACAATAAAAGCCTACCGGACTGTCTCCACTCTTTAGCTCAGTACATCCATTTCAGGAGAAAAAACAATTTATGGCATACAATTCAAAATAAGTTACTTACAACTTATTCTATGCAACTTGTTCACTCGGTTTAAAATTAAAAGCCAGTTTAAAACAGACTTTATGAAGCCTTTTTGTCACCCAAAAGAAAACGAGTTTAAAAGTAGCTTAAAACCAATTTATTGCAGCCAACGTCAATTGCAAAAAAAAACCCTTAAACAGATATTAATCCAGACACTGTAAAACAGATTAAAACAGGTCATTACATCAACTCCAAACAGTTGGTTTCCTAAACATCAATGAAAAAGGGGCCAAAGTGTTTCTGGAGTACGCTTTCAGAAAACCTGCTGATGAGAGACCCAGCTCTGCTCTACTGCAGGACGACACAGCCGTCAGCTCTGCGGCGCTCTCCGTCACATCCCCGCCAGCTGCGTTCTCACACTGATCCAAGGGTTTTATTGACAGGGTGAACAAGCTGTTCATGTACCTTGGCAGCGTAGCTCCACATCTCGATGCGATCCTGAAGTCTCTTCTTGCACTCTGGTTGCAGACGAACACGTTTGTCCTGCAGCGCCTCCATCAGGCACGACATCTCTGAGAACACAAACACAACATCACTGGTATAAAAGTTAACAGATCAAATCACCAGATTTATCTTGTGTCTGAGGCCATATGATTTAGAAACATGTTTGCCAAGTGTTGAGAGCACTGTCAGTTCCATGTTTGTGTAAATAAATTCAGCCTTTGAACCAAACGGTGGCAAAATGTAAAAAAACAAAAACAAATGTTAAATCAGCTTAAACCTGATATTCATGATTAAACTCAATAGATACAAGGTGCCTCTGAGCAACACTTTAAATATTTAAGCTGCCAATTTAACAATGGAACAAATCTTTGTGGACGATCTTAGACCTACAACTAATCTAAATATGGGATCTGTATTTTACTCACTTCTTTTTATTGCACTTTATTTCCAAGGAGTCAGGTTGTGCTATAAGAATTTGAAGGGTATAAAAATGCTTGATGTGCTGAGGTGTTGGTTTGCTCTTGCTTTATTACAGCAGAAGGTGCATTTATCTATGGGAGAACAAACCGTTTTCCTAGCTTCACCAGCAGCACATCAAGCCAACAGAGGCAATAAAAACGTCCTGATTTTGAGTGTATGTGATTTTTCATGTCTCAGTCACAGCTGAGGCGTCTGTTGTGGACTCACGGCGCCCCCTGCCAGGTGGGATGGCAGCGCAGTGGTGTTTGATGTCCAGAGCGCAGGCAGTGTGAAGGACAGGATCGACGAAGATGTCCGCTTTACTCTCCTTCAGCATGTTCAACACCTCCTGCAGGAGGAGGAGGCGGGGAGAGAGAAAGGAGGAGGAGGACACTGAGGAATTGTTTGGAAAATAAAACATTTTCTCTTGTTGCACATAAACTGGTTTAAAGCAGAGAAAATGCTGATGTTTTAAACTGGAAGTAAACGTGTGGCTGTTGAGTGTGTATGTTAAAACGCTGGGGTGTCCTTCCCCATCAGTGGTCAGTGAAGGCCTCAGTTTACCTTCTTACATCCTTCCTGTTTGATCTTCAGCAGGTTCACCTTGAGACACTCCTCCACCTGCCCCGTCTGCTCCTGAGCTGCGGCCTCCTCCGGACACAGCCGAGGGATCTGAGAACACAAACACACACAAAGTGTTTCTGAGCATCGGCCTGCTCACTGTGAACAGGCCTGAGCGACTGCGGCGACTTCTCAGCAGGTCGATTTGCATAAAGTGGCATCAGCTTGCCATGTTTCTACTTGTCAAGTTCCTTCATATCATAATTCAGCACCATTTGATGTCAGTCAGAAGGAACAAAGTGGTTGTGTGTGTGTAAGAATGTGCGCACCTCCTGTGTGCATTGGATCTGCAGCTGAGGGTCCAGCCTGTAGTCCAGGGCCGACTCCTGCAGGATGATGCGGATCTGATCCTCACAGTCGGGCGACAAGCGCTGGCACAACACACACATTCATGTTTTTATGGACTAAATAGTTCTTTGAAGAAATTCCCACAACTTATCTTCTCAGTTACAGGCTACGTGCACCACCCGACACACAGACTGGGTCACAACTTAATGTTCAAACCAGAGTGAATATTTAATACACACATAGACAAAACATAAGGTGGTTTAGATGAATTTTTATCTACTACTGTAGTAGTAACACATAAGCACCATTCAATAATCAGTTGTATTGATACAAGTTGAAGTCATAGCTAGGAAACAGGACGCGATGAGGGGCAAAGCGGGGTTAGGACGTTTGTCTCACTAGACCCTCTGGGCTGAAGAGACATTAGGCAGAGAAGGTTTAAATATACCAAGAATCAGAGAACAGTGAAACAGGAAACTTGGGAGTGAGGTGGGACTCTTTAAACCAACATGGTGTCGTGGATGTGTCAGACACAGTAAAGACGGTCTGACCTGGTCGGCGTATTTGAGTTTGAGGCAGGAGATGACCTGACCCTCCAGCTCGGTGTCGGTCGTCGCCTTGTTCAGGATGGACTGGCAGAATTTTGGGATGTCGGCTTTACAGGCTTTCTTCAGCACTGGGTTCAGCCTGTAGTCTGAAGACACACACACACACAGTCACCAGTCGACCCTGGAACCCCGGTCATGTAGACAGACCAGATGTGTGCTCCGTGTGTGCACCTGTGTTCTGGGTGATTTGTCTCTTGGTGATCATCTGCTTGCACTTGGGATCCATCAGCTCGCTGTTCTTGTTCTGCTTCAGACACTGCAGAACATTCTTCCCCTCGGACTCCGTGCAGAAACGCTGAAACGCACATAAAACAGCCGTTACACCCACATCCCTAAGCAAAGAAAACACTTCATACTAATGCAGCAAAAAACGAGGATACAGACACGATGACTTCTACCCAACCGCTGCCAACACCGATGGCAGTTAACAGTTTGACATGTGCCCCAGTCTGAGCCCTTGGCTGAGTATACTGCCAGGAAAAGCATTGTTTGAAACTATGACAACTACAATTGACTAAAATATGAACTTCATGTATCTTTTAGATTGCAGCAAGTAATCTTTAATCAATTTGTTTGACTGGGAAATGCCTTTTAAATTTAACCTTTATTTTATCAGGAAAGCCTCAGTGAGCAGAGTGTGCTAATCAGCTACTCTTTGTCCAGTGTGGGAGAGTTGTGTTAACCTGACAACAACACAACACTGAGCTCTCTGGGTGGAAGTCACACTTTCAAATTTATGGACCAATGAAAACCAAAATATTTTTGCATCCTACTCGGTGAAAAAAAAGTAGCGTTCCCAGACATCCCATGAAGCGCCTTCCAGGATCATGTGATGCTGGTTTTACTGACCTACCCTGATCATATCCTGGCAGACTCTCATCAGCTGGTAGTCCAGTTCAGGATCAACCATCTCCACCTCCTGCAACTTGAAGATCCGCTGGTGGCAACGCGGAGTCAGCTGCTTCTTATGCTCCTTCAGACACTCGATGACCTGCAGAGATCTGACTGTCAGTGACTCACCTCAGAAACTGGAACAATCAAGGTGAAAGAAGCAAAAAATACAAAAACAAAAACACATGTTACAGCTACTACAAGCTTCAAAGCCTTTTCTGTTTTCAGTTTCAAAATTAACTCAAGTTCATGCACACACATTAATTAGCCACAGTCTGAACTGTATTTTACAAAATGTTGATTATGTGTCATCACTTAATGTTTCAGTCTTCAGAACTGAGTCAAGTCAGATTCACAGAAAAACACTTTTCTCTGAAACCTCTTTTAACTTTGTATATTTAGTAAAGAGCACCGAGTTGGACAAGTGTGATGGTATTCCTCCTTAGTACAGACGGCCTCTCCAAAAGCTCAGCAGAGACGACGCCATGATATCAAACTATCCTCTATTTAGCTCTATGTGTTTAGGGTTTGTCCCTCTGTCCTTGAAGACAGGAGGGTGGTGGTCCTCTGGGATAAAAATAAAAGTTACTTCTGACTTGACATAAAATCAAAAAGGATAATTGGTTAAAGTGGGAATGCTTATTTCCAACATCGCCCCAAGTATTAAAATCAGAGAAATGGGGGGGGGGGGGCATCAGTTTAAGGAAACATTTCAGCATCAGAACCGAGAGCTTGGGAGAAGGGATCCAACGTCCTACCGAGGTTGGACGCATGTTTGAGTCGAGTCAGTACATCAGACCCACAAATGTCTGCTCTCATTACGCTTAGCTGGTCCTGTAAAGCCAACACAGCTGCACAAATCAGTCTGATAAAGAAACATGCAAAATTCATACATCTCCATTTAATGACTTTCCCGCCAAACTGTTTTCTGTACATCCGATCTGCTTTGTTTCCGAAACGAGTGCTGAAATTGAAAAACATTTAAGGAACATTTAAAAAAAAAAAAACCTTAGAAAAGGGAAAATGTCCAGTCTTTTGTGTATGTTGCTGTTAGAGATATTACTCTGTGCCGTTGATACATGAAGCTTCACAGGTTTCATGAGATCAGTCTTCCATGTGGAGGGGGCCTTTCTGCTCACTGGGCTAAGTGACAACATTATTTATTTAATTCAAAGTTTGCATTTAAATAGGGTTTGAATGCTGTTCAATATCCTAAATGGCCAAAACTATATGGACTAGGGTGGGCCCCTGACTCTTAACGCTCGAGCTGTTCTTCCACTGTCGACCTTTCACGAGCTCAGGAACAGCAGCCTGTTTTCAGTTGTCTGACAATTCATTTGTCAGAATGGCTTTAAACATTTATATTTAAAAGCCAACAATCTGGAAAGACATGGTTTCAGCCCAGAGTCAAAGATCCTTTGGTTAAATGGAACAAACTCTTGCAGTGAGGATCCAAAATCTGGTAGAAAGGCTTTTCACAGAACAGTGGAGGCCATTTTGGAATCAACATATGGTTATAACGTGCAGGTAATGTGAAGTGTGCCGTCTTTAGGTTTAAAAGAAAGGTCACCGTCTTTCAACAGCATGTTAGTCAGGACTTCCTGTCTCCCTTCTCACCGACACCGAGCCGCTTTGAAAACGATCAGCTGTTACACAGTGTGTGTTGGTGAACGTACCATCTCCACCTCCTCCACACGCAGCTGTTTACGACATCCGACGGACACTCGCTGCTCCTTGACGTCCTGCAGTGTGTCGTTCCTCACCGTGGTGCTGAGGCAGATCACCACATCCACCCTGAGCCACAGGAAGACCACCAGTTACAAACCCAGTCCCACTTTGTTTTTACAGTGTCTCCAGATTAACGCTTGGCTGAAGGTGTGAAATCATCCAAAGGGGAAAGGCCAACGCTGAGCCAGATTTTAAACTGACCCCTAACTCATGTTAGAACCAGGTAGTGGTGTCAGTTCCTGTTAAGTGTGTGTGTTCTTTGCTAACCTGCTTGTGACCACACAGAGGTACGGTATCCTTTCAAAAAGGTCCCGACACCCAGGGTTACAAAAGTCTTATTTAAAAGTAATTTTTAACAATCTGTCAAAAATATTCTGATCTGTGTCTACACAATGATCTACAAAACCATCGAGTCCCGAGTCCATCTGGCAAAAGCCTCTGCAATGCTTTCATTCATATCAAACAACAATCGTCCCCAAACTGACAGGAGATCGCTGCTGGATGCGTTTTTAACAGTCACGAAGCCTGATTAGATATTTTCAACCATAAAATATCCTCTCATTTTTCAATGCTGGCAGCTAACATAGTTCAGCCTCAGCCTTCCATTGACACACAGAGCTGAAAACCTCAGGAGGAGTTCTGGGAAAAAGGAACTGATCAGTTATTATTTAAGAAAACATGCGAGCATGCACAGTCCTTTCTGCCCTTTGGGAGTCGCACGCATTACAGAACAGTCTAGGCTCAGAGGCAGGGGTGCAGGGCAGCATGTTGTACCGACGGTGTGTGTCTTACTTCTTCTTGATGTTGGGACACAGCTTGAGAACATCTTCTTTGCAGGCTGTCTTGAACTTGTAGGAGAAACGGAAATCCTTGATTTGAATCTGAGGACAGAAAGAAGCTCATCAGAAATAAAGACAGCAGGTTAAACAGCTATGCGCTCACTTGTGTCATCAGTTATGGTGGATGGCAGGTCAAGGTTTTTCCAAACAATAAGTAACAAATAAGTTTCTGTTATAACAGAGAGAGGACAAAACGTCGCCTGTTGCTGTTGAGCTACAGCAGTTTCCTCTGCTCACCAGCTGGAAGTGTGTCACTCCCACCGCACATTTCTCATTCATCTCCTTCTGGTGCTTGTTCTGAACTAAACACGCCATCAGATCTCCGGTGTCGATCTGATTATTGGCCACCTCCTGACAGACAGAAACAAAGAGGAGAGAGAAAAACAACATGGATAACTCATGTTTGACAGAGAACATGTGAACAACCTCTTCGACCATGGCATGCAGATGAATTTATTCAACTTTCTCAATATGATCCTGTGAAACGTATGGAGAAAACAACAAGATAAGAATGTTTCTTTTTGGTTAATCCAATTAATGAAATGCCTGATGAGCCAAACTCTTCATCGCACTGACGCAAAAATAACATTAAAATGGAATATGGCAGCAAAGCTCCACTCGGTGATCTGCAACACGGGGCACAAAAGTCACCACAGTATAAACATTATGGCAAACTCCCTGAAAAGTTTGTTACATAAATGGTCAACACTAATGTACAGCGTGCTCTGATGAAACAAGACAAACCCAGAGCAGGTCAGATGAGAGACTGCTGCTCTGAAGCGTTTTTACCCTGGAGGCCAGTTTCTACACTGCTGGCCTCCTCACGTCAGAGCAACAGAGCTCTTCTTTTGATATAGCTGAAGGGGGGAAGAAAAAAAAAAAGTCTAAAATTTCTTGGACTAGTTCAAACTCGATTCCAGAAGAAGTACAGTACGAGACAGTGAATTCCTCAGTGCAGACTTACGTGACAGTAGGCCTGGATGACGGGATCACAGGTTCTCATCAGCAGTGCCTTGATCTGAATATCCTGAGGGCAGAAAAAGCACAAAGCGCACAGCGAGATCAGATCGGTGTTTAGCAGGACGGCTCAGATGGTCACATTTGGTCAGAGCAGGTTACCAACCTGAGGGTCAGCCCCTTTCAGTGGCCCCCTGGTAAACATGGAGGGTCACAAAATCTTTTAGCAGTTTCAGCTTCAAAAACTCCTTCAAGTGAAGCGAACAAATAATTCATGCCCACACTGGTCACAAGTTGCAACAAGTAGATGGCGTTAGCACTGCTTCTTCTTCTGGCTTTTTCAGTCTGGACACTCACTATTACAGGTGCACTTGTCGTCACCTTCCTTCGAGGAGGCGTCGTGCTGTAAAACCACAGCGCCAGAGCTCTACAGGCCTGACTGTCTTTGAATGTTCAAAGTATTCCCTGTGACAGGATGAACCTCTAAACAAGCCGGGCTGTGAATTAACTGGGTGGTTTTACTTGTTAGGAGCCTCAGTGAACCACGGTACAGCCTGTACTAAATACCTATATTTATAGTATACTGTCTTATACTGCAGTTAATATATATGAACTCACAACAAAATGAAGACAAACTGAATAAAAAGGAACTTTACAAAACAATGTTTTACATTTTTAAAATCAGTAAACAAATGGAAATGATGAAGTGAAACATCAGATGAATGACACAAAGTATTTACATCTTACTGCTACATCTCGTCCACTGACCTGCAGCGTGTGGACACAAACTGTGGCTCTTGAACAGTGAAACCACAGCTCTCCTGTTCAGATGCTGACCTACTGCACTGCTGTTAATAAGCAGCATCTTACATTCAACGTTCTCTGTCACCTGGCGTTAGCACTGCTTCTTCTTCTGGCTTTTTCAGTCTGGACACTCACTATTACAGGTGCACTTGTCGTCACCTGTGCAGTGTGAGCACCGCACACTACAGAGTTACAACATGCCAATAATTATCATGCAGCTTAAGTTTGGGGCACATTCTTATCATGTC